TCAGTAATTAATATGTCTCCTAAATGTCACTAGCTATTTGTTATAGGCCAAATAGTCATTTACACTGGAATTATGAGAATCGTGGTGCGAAGGAATTGATTTACCCGGTGAGACAAGCGAGACCACAATTTTACTTTTCCATTAGTCTGGATTTGTTTGTGCTCAAATGAATAATGAAGATGCCTGAGTGTTATTTCTCACTCGTTTCTGCTTAGTCATTCCAAACCCATGTAGGGTGCTCTAAACTCAGAAGTGTGCTCACTACATTTGTCGAGTTTGTGGAACACCTTGACATGAAAATCCCTTGTTCAAATAAGAAGGCAGCAGATTACTTTGTGAAATTTGTTTATTTTCAGTGATTCACTGGGTCCAGGATAACGAGGTTTAGTCTTCGTTAACATCAGCCAATCTTATCTGTGACTCACCGAAATCGAATACAGTGTAAAACTTGCTCATGAATACATCGCCGAGAACCCAGTATCCAGGGGATAATTGATCATTGCTGGCGAAAGGTGATGTACAGTATGTATACAGCCAGTTGTCCTCCTGGAATCGAAAAATGAAACAAATTTTCTTCAGTTTCAAGCGCATAATCCTTTTGAATGACAATTAAGAGCAGCCTTAGTGGATGTCGACTTCACCTGCCTCCACAGCCAACTCCGACCGGTCAGAACACAAACAGCGTGCTTTCCAAAGGAGTTGACTCGAATATGCTTATTGCAGTTGACGGATATTTATGTGTAGAATGAATGAAAATAATGGAACCGGACGAATTTGTTGAGAATTATTTGAGTTTGAGCATATGTTTCGAAAAAGGATTGACAGCATTTTCAGGAGAGAAGTGGAAGATAAGAATGTAAGGGTGGGGGCTGTGATAATGTGAAATTCATTTAATAAATTAGAGGAACCGTGATAATAATAAATTGGTGTTGGTGACTCCAGAAATGAATTTTAATTTGTCTGGTGATTCGTCCCATGCGTAATACTAAGGTAAACTCACTAGCTGGAAATGATGCCATACAAATCATATCAGAAGCTCACATTTCCCACAGTATGCCGTCCACTTCTACAGATAAGTGACTAAAATAAATCCACACTGGTTTCATGGATTTCACAATACTTTGGTGTCTGTTCAATGAAAACTAGTGACATTGGTGAAGACGTTTTCTCAGTGTGCTGATCACAACAGAATCAGGAGGTTCAACTGAATGATTATACTCACCTTAAGCACGTAATCCTTCGGGCTAATTACATAGGTCCTCCTCCTGAAAATAAACTCAACTGTAGGGAGCAGATGAATGTTATTACAGTCGAGTGAGTATTCACCACCGCCAACCCATCTGGCACCAAGATGATTATTAATCGCATCCACCACTCTGCTATGTCCCATTATCAAAGACGTTCCAGTATCTATAACACCAGTGCATTTTCTAAGGCAAAATTCTGCTCCACCTATCTTCATGCTAAACATGGTAAGAAAAACAACTGAAACATAAGCCAGTCAATTCAGTGAAGAGTGTAGTGATATAAATCATTCAAATCACAAAATACCTCATCCTAATAATCAAACGCGATGAGCATACTTAGTTCTCCTCAGTAACTCCTAAACAAACAAGCAAATCCCTGTCTGTTGATTAAGTTTCTATTCTCATCAGAATTTGTTGCACGTTCAACCAATAACAGCCTTCACTAAATCATTCTAATAACTTTCATCACTGGAATACTCGTGAACAAATACAAACCATGCTGTGATTACGCACACCATGAACGTTTCCACCTGAGACTACGTAAGACAACTTAACTACAAACTATCAGCGTTTTAGCTGCCATTCGCCAACATCTGTGTGTTTATCGCAAGTTAAAAGAGATAGTCAGCATATGTGATGTTGTTTGGTAGAAGGGGAATCGGTTTTCATGTGTTGAGGTGATGATGGTCGAATGACTGAGTTATTTGTTTGGAAGAGAGTATTCTTGTTTCAAACCGACTATGAGAAATGAGGGATGCAGAATAACTGTCTACTAAATTGTCATCTGGAATTATCAAGTCATTTCTCATCCAAAAGATCTTAGCTTAAATGTCTGACTTATATTAGTGGAAACCTAAGAATTGTTGCGTGTTTTAAATATCCTTTGGCTAGAAGTGATAACTATGACAACCACTCCACATTTTCTGTGACCGTAATGTTCACGTGAAAAAACTATATCCTCCGACAACACAATAAGAAGACGTAGTTTATCTGAAATGGGTAATGTATTTGCGCAACACATTTCGGAGATTCTGATCATACAAGTACTTGTCATACACAGTTTTTATAGAAGGAAAGAAGGCACAAATAATTACCATACAGGTCAGATTGTGTACAGGTCAAGGTCACAAATAGCGTTTAGGAGGACGCAAATGCGTCAGATACCAGCTTGCTAGGCTACTAGCTTACTAGTTTTCTCGCCGGTCCCAAGCCCGGGTAAAGAGGGAGGGTTGGGGCGTGGTGCTAGCAACTCCACCCCTGTAAAACAACCAAATCGCTACAGAAACTTCAACGAATAAATATATTAAAAATTCTAAAAACATAAGCAATAGCCTTACTTTTCGCTGGAATCGGGGAAGTGAAATGACGCAGGCTGGTGAAAGCCTTCGGGAAGCCAGTCAGCCGATGTGCCTTCTTTCGATGAAAGCAAAAGTAAGGATGGGTACCTGGAATGTTCGTACAATGTACGAAACTGGAAAGGCTGCCCAGATAGCCGCTGAAATGAGAAGGTACAGAATAGAAGTGTTGGGAATCTGCGAGAGCAGATGGAACGGAACTGGAAGGTGCCAACTACCTACTGGAGAGACAGTAATCTTTTCCGGCCACCCAGAGGACAACCACGAGCACACCGAGGGAGTGGCCATCATGATGTCACCAACAGCAACCAAAGCTCTCATGCAGTGGGAACCAATCTCCTCCAGGATAATGACAGCCAGGTTCAACTCAAAAGGAAGGAAAGTTACAGTCATTCAATGCTATGCGCCTACAAACGTCTCAGAACAAGAGAAGAAGGAGGCGTTCTACAGACAACTACAAGCAATAATGGACAACGTCCCAAATGGCGATATCAAAATCCTGATGGGCGACATGAATGCGAAGCTGGGAGGAGACAACACAGGAAGAGAACTCACCATGGGTCGTGAGGCCCTCGGTGAAATGAACGACAATGGTGAACTCTTCTCAGACTTCTGCGCCTTCAATGATTTGGTGATTGGTGGTAGTGTGTTCAAACACAAGGATATACACAAGACGACATGGATTTCACCAGATGGAAACACCAAGAATCAAATAGACTTCATCTCAATTTCAAGAAAGTGGAGACGGAGCCTACTGGACACAAGGTCAAGGAGAGGAGCAGATGTGGGTTCAGACCACTATCTAGTAGAAGGGACTTTCAAGGTGAAACTAAAAGCCTCGAGGATAGCTGGGGATAGGCCACAATGCAAGTTCAACACTCAATTACTGAAGGACACAACCACAAAAGACACCTTCACTGCAACTGTCAGAGCAAAGCAGGAAACACTACGCGACATCACTGAAGAATCATGCGTGGAAGAACATTGGAAGTCTCTGAAGGCGATTCTCAACGAAACGTGTTCAACGGTTCTAGGAAGAAAGAAGAGACAAGACAAGGAATGGCTCTCAACGGACACTTGGAAATTAATAGAAGAGAGGAGAATGGTGAAAGAGAAAATGATTCAATGCAAGGACGGACAGGAGAAGGAGACGCTGAGCTCAACTTACAAAGCACTGGACAAAGAAGTGAAGAAGAGTGCTAGGAAGGACAAAAGACGATTCTACGACAACCTGGCCACTGAAGCTGAGAAGGCAGCAGGCAAAAGGGACCTGAGGACACTATATCAGATAACCAAATCTCTATCCGGGAAGAGACCAACACAAGCGAAACCTATAAAAGACAGCCAAGGGAAGCCCATTACCAAGGAAGAAAAACAGATTAAACAATGGGCGGATCACTTCAAAGGACTCTTGAACCGACCATCACCTGCAACCCGTCCAGAAATACCAACAACAGCGCGCACACAACTGCAAGTTGACACCAATCCTCCAACGAGAGCTGAAGTCTTGAATGCAATCAAGCTTCTGAAAGCTGGAAAGCAGCCGGACCAGATGGAATACCCCCTGAAGCACTGAAAGCGGACCCAGAGACTACAGCAGACATGCTGACTCCATTATTGCAAAAGGTCTGGAAGGAGGGAAAGGTGCCTACTGACTGGAGGAAAGGTTACCTCGTGAAACTACCAAAGAAGGGCGACTTAGGACTCTCTCTGCAAGAACTGGCGAGGAATCATGCTCCTATCGACGCCAAGTAAAATCCTGAGTCGCATCATCCTGGAGAGATTAAAGGACGCACTGGAGACAGAACTCCGACCAGAACAAGCTGGATTCAGGAAAGGCAAATCATGTACTGACCAAATTGCAACTCTACGCATCATCATCACAGAACAAAGCATGGAATGGCAATCAAACCTCTACCTCAACTTTATAGACTTTGAGAAGGCCTTCGACAGCGTTGATCGTGAAGTAATTTGGAAATTACTCGAGTACTATGGCGTACCCCAAATATTCATCAACCTTATTCAACAGCTGTACGACAACGGTACATGTCAAGTGATCCACAACGGAAAACTCAGCGAGGCGTTTGGAGTAAACACAGGAGTCAGACAAGGGTGCTTATTATCACCAATGATATTCCTAATTGTGGTGGACTGGATTATGCGTCAGACAGTGAGTGGGAAACGAGAAGACAGGAATATCCTGGACCGACGTGAAGAACCTAGAAGACCTGGATTTCGTGGATGATTTATGTTTGATGTCACACATAATCGAAGACTTACAAGCGAAAACCGACAAACTGGTCGAAGAAGCAGCAAAGACAGGACTCCAGGTAAACATAGACAAGACGGAGGTTATGAAAATAACCAACCAACAACAGCAGCAACATCCAACGTCAATCACCATCAACGGGAGGGATTTGAAAGAGGTTACTTCATTCACTTATCTAGGGAGCATTGTCTCAACTACAGGAGGAGCGGACGAGGATGTCAAATCGAGCGAGAATCGGGAAGGCGGGCGAGAAACACATTCATCAGCCTGAAATCAATCTGGAAATCTTCGTCACTCAGCATCACCAACAAAATTCGGATTTTCAATACAAACGTAAAGTCAGTCAGTCTTCTATACGGATCAGAAACTTGGCGGGTCACAAAGAATATTTCCAAAAGGCTGCAGACCTTTATTAACAACTGTCTTCGCTCAATACTGAAGATCAGATGGCCGGAAAGAATCACCAACAAGGAATTATGGGAACAAACAAAGCAAGAACCGATCGCCCAACAAATATGCAGGAGAAAGTGGAGATGGATCGCGCGTCAAGCCCTCGAGTGGAACCCGAAAGGGAAGCGGCGTGTGGGGCGTCAATGCAAGGGTGACATGGAGGAGATCGTGTGAAGAGGAGTTGAAAGAGTATGGAATAACATGGATGCAGGCGAAAAGTACAGCAGAGGACAGAAGAAAATGGAGACGTGCAGTCGAAGCCCTATGTTCCACTAGGAACCCAAGGGAGCAATAATAATAATAATAATAAAAAAGGCGTCAGTGAGAAAGATAAAAAGAGAAACAAACAAAGCAAAGAAGGGGTTCAAGATGTTGTTAAGTAAATCGGTTCTTGGTTCTAAATTGGATCACCGAGTCAGGTTTAAGTTAATAACAAATAACTTCCAGACACATAAGGCAGTTTCCAGTTACTTTATGGCTAAGGCTTCAACGAATTTAAGTATGTTATCTTCTATAAAAACAAGTACTTATATGATCAGAATGTCGGAAATGTGTTGCGCAAATGCATTACCTATTTCAGATAAACTACGTCTCCCTATTGTGCTGTCGGATTTCATAAGAGGAATTAAATGCAATAAATAACATATTTGCCCATAAAATCATGTAAGCATCAATTGACTACCTTTTGATTATAACAGACCAATGGCTACCAGAAACGACAGACAAGCTTTCGAAATCTCCAATAAAATATTCAGGATTGACACCACCAATCACCATCTCTCCACCGACATGACCATTCTTCCTACAATATACAAAACACGAAAACTGCTTAGCTTACTTGGCTAAGAGTGAGATCAATTTAGCCTTCCTTCAAGCATAAATGTGAACGGTGATCATGATAAACATGGCGCACAAATTTCCATGAAGTCACAAAATTCAATAGTGAATTCCAACACCTCACATTTCAGTGTTATCTTAGTTGCAAGTGAAAACGATATAAGACGAAACAGTACTATGAGACACTATTACTTTCCATATATAATGTCATAATTGTGCACTAGAAGACACCACTCATTAAGAATAATCGTCACGAATACGCTGATAATTCAATGTCTGCAACACCGGATGAGGAGACAGTTTTGAAAATGAGAATGATCACACTGTACAAATGAAAGAAACGCTATCATCGATTTTGGCGAAACTGAGGAATGAATTGGATTTGGATTTTGGGAATGTATGAAGATAGAATACTGTATTGAGGCAATTCAATGAGTGTCTATAATTATCTTGCTCATATGAAGCAAGTCATATACACCCTGAAAAATTCACATTGTCAAGTCTTTCTCCATGCTCTTATTTGAATATGGCCTTGAACTACTTCCTGTTTGATGGATTCCGAATTTATTTCACACTGAACATTCATCCTGTGTGTTGATCTAGAGACATTTAAACTTATTTGCTTACAAGTGGATCTGTATTCCGAATAACTAAATATCAAGTCACAATATTCATACCAGATATATATGAATGCCAGTGAACTACTCATATCTATTTTTAATGAGCTGTTGATTGCAAGTGTAGTTTTGCCTTGATGTTATTCGGAACCTACCAATTCAAATAGAACGAAAATACTGGATCGATATCCCTTGACTGAGAGAGTATATTCGGGAAGAATGGAGTGTTCCCATATCTTGACACATTTCTCCTTGACATACCAATGACTCCATCGTACTTACTACCAAAGAAATCCTCGGAAAACACATTTGTCACTTCAGCGAACGCCTGATTGCGAATAACTAAGGAGTTTATCTAAAACCAAGGTCATTTCAAGTCGTACAGCCACAATACCTGCATTGTATCCATGCTCCAATATCCAGAGTAACTGCCAATCAGGTAATTTATATCAAACTTCGTACCATTTGGCTTGTAGGTGGATGATTTCGAACTGTCGTAGAATCGAATGAACCAACATGGAATGTCAAGAAACCAACATTTTCTTGACGGTAGCCAGGTGTCGGTTGATCCTGTATCGAAGAGTACACGAAACTCTTGTGGTGGTGTTCCCACAAGCACTTCCCCATAGTACTGAATCTGAAAAGGATATCATGAATGAAAGATTTGAAAAATCGTCTGTGATTTCAATATCATGATGAACTAGTCTACATTAATGAAAATAATGAGTAGTTTTAAAAGACTCTCACCAATATTTGATTGATGTACCATGTGTGGAATAATATTAAAGGGGAAGTCATCGAAATATTGACAATACAGCCTGGAAGTTTTAACAATTCAAATTATGAAATCTGATCAAAAAAAGAATAGAAGTAAATCAGTGTGCAAGAGTACCGATCCATTTTTAAATACTTTTATTTTGTGTCACGATGTTGCGGTATTATTTATTTACATATGACATATTAATCACGGTGTACTGCAGGCTATCATGTCACCTTAATATCTAGTTTGTAGTCATGATGAAAATTCATTGAACCGCTAACAATGAGAGACAATAACACGTAAACATCCTCCTCAAATTAACACCTACTGGTGATATAGTCAGGGGAGGAAATCGCAACAGCTTATTTTCTTATTCATACAGTATCAACGGAATGATTCTAAGTACTCTGATTCTGCACTCCGCAAAAAATATTTCCATACTTACATTTACATTGTTTATCTAGTATTGCGGATGCAGATAACACTCAAATCAACAAACATTTAGTTCATTCCTGAAATTCGACTTACACTACCATAATTATACAGCGGTTCTGATGTTGGTGTATCTCCGCCATTCAATAAATTCACCCAACTTTGTTGTAATACCCTGAACAGTTTCCGATATGGATTTAGCAGTGAGCTGATTCCAGTCACCGGATGCAATGGAATCTTGATAATCTCAGAATTCACATGACACAGACAGATGAGAAATATGATCAGGTTCATTGGAATGAATGTCAGAAGGAGACGCGAAAACGTGGTCGATGTCTTTCTGTCTTAATGTGCATCCACTTATATTCACATGCTGGTAACAACGAAATTTCTGATTGGAGATCACCGTGATTTTGTTTGTTGTCAGTATATTATTAAGTGGTGCTTGCGAATGATGGCAAATATAAACATGTTTTATGAATAACTGAATATATGTGCGATATACGTGCAAGTGAGTCCCCTTAGCATAATGGACTTTAGATGTGTGTAAAGATATTTGATTTGCGTAATTTCGAAATTCTCTTTGAATACTTCAAATAAGAAATATAAAAGCGGACAATTGTTTTCAATAAATTGGTTTTCGGTTCAAACAGTTTCAAATCTGTCAGCATTTTCATGTAGCAGACGGCGAATATGGAAACATAACCTTATGAATAATAGGATTGTAATTGATAGTGTGAAATGGGTTTGGTTGAAAAGATGATGTTGTTTTTTATAGTACTGCTTGTGTTTACAAAATATGCAGCCCATGTAAGTAGGAGAGAAGATAATAAGATGTGTCTTCTGTTATTATTATTATTATTATTATTGTATCCTTTAGTTCCTAGAGGAACATAGGGCTTCAGCTGCGCACCTCCATTGACTTCGGTTTTCTGACAACTTTTTCACCCTGCTCCAGGTCTGCCCACATGCTTTCATCTCCTCTTCACATGACCTCCTCCAAGTCACCCTTGGACGACCAACTCGCCGCCTCCCTTTCGGGTTCCACTCGAGGGCTTGTCTAGTGATGTCACTTGATGGTTTCCTCAGCGTATGGCCAATCCATCTCCATTTCTTTCTGCCTATTTGTTTCACAATCGGTTCCTGATTGGTTCGCTCCCAGAGATCCCTGTTGCTGATCTTTTCTGGCCATCTGATCTTGAGTATTGAGCGGAGACAGTTGTTAATGAAGGTTTGAAGTTTGTTTGAGATGCTCTTTATGACTCGCCAAGTCTCTGATCCGTATAGTAGCACTGACTTCACATTGGAGTTGAAAATCCGGATCTTATTTTTGATGCTGATTGCTGTTGACCTCCACACAGATTTGAGAGTAATGAAAGCTTGTCTTGCTTTTCCGATTCTGGCTTTGATGTCCTCGTCAGTTCCGCCTGTAGTTGAGACGATGCTTCCCAGGTAGGTGAAGGAGGTTGTTTCTTTCAGGTTCTTCCCATTTATGCTTATTGTGGTCTGTTGTTGCTGTTGATGTTGGCAAGGAATCTTCATCATCTCTGTTTTATCTATGTTCACGTGAAGTCCTATCTTTGATGCTTCTTCTGCCAACTTGTTACTTTTCATTTGCATATCTTCCAGTTTATGGGAAATCAGACATATATCATCGGCGAAATCCAGATCCTCCAAGTCTTTTGTGTCAGTCCATTTTATGCCTGTTCCCTCGTTGGTTGCCGTTGTCTGTCGCATTATCCAATCAATTGCAATCAGGAAGATCATTGGTGATAGTAGACAGCCTTGCCTCACTCCCGTCCTCACTTCGAAGGCTTCCGTAAGTTTCCCGTTGTGGATTACTTGGCATGCAGCATTGTCGTATAACTGTTGGATGAGGTGTATAATTGTCGATGGGACCCCGTAGTAGCGAAGTAGTTTCCAAATGACCTCTCGATCGACGCTGTCGAAGGCCTTTTCAAAGTCGATGAAGTTGAGATAGAGAGGTGACTGCCATTCCAAGCTTTGTTCAATGATGATCCGTAGAGTGGCGATTTGATCAATACATGATTTGTTTCTCCTGAATCCAGCCTGTTCCGGACGAAGTTTTTCATCTAGGGCTTGTTTGATTCTCTCCAGGATGATGCGACTTAGTATCTTGCTTGGAATGGACAGAAGCATAATTCCACGCCAGTTTTTACATTGACTTAAGTCTCCTTTCTTTGGAAGTTTGAATAAGTAACTGTTCTTCCAATCCTCGGGTACTTTGCCCTCTTTCCACACCTTCTCCAGTAGTGGTGTCATCAAGTCCGCTGTTGTCTCTGGGTCTATTTTCAAAGCCTCTGCTGGGATTCCATCTGGTCCCGGTGTTTTCCCAGTTTTAAGCATCTTGATTGCATTCAGGACTTCTGATTTCGTCGGGGGGTCAGTGTTCACTGGTAGTTCTGCTTCCGTTGTTGGTATTGCTGGACGTGTTGTAGGTGGCGGACGATTTAGAAGTCTTTTGAAGTGTTCAACCCAGTGCTTTCTCTGTTCCACCTCTTTGGTGATTGACTTTCCATTGTCGTCCTTTATTGGCTTAATCTGTGTCGAACGTTTGCCCGAAAGGTTCCTAGTTGTTTGGTAGAGTGTGGCGAGGTCTCCTTTGCCTGCAGCTTGTTCTGCTTCGTTTGCCATGGTTTCATAATATTTTCTTTTGTCTTCCCTGGCACTTTTCTTCACTCTTTTGTTCAGTGTATTGTAGCTTGCATTCAGCTCCTGTTTTTGTTGCTCGTCCGTGCACTGGATAATCTTTTGCTTCACTGTCCTTCTCTCTTCTATTAGTTTCCAAGTGTCCGTAGTGAGCCACTGTTTGTCCTGTCTCTTTTTTCTGCCTAGAATTTCTATGCAGGTTTGGCTCCACACCGTTTTCAAGTTGTTCCAGTGCTTTTCAACGCCGACCTCTTCGCTAGTGTTGATTTGTGTCTCGGCTTTGTCCTTTATGCTTGCAATGAAGATGTCCTTTGTAGCCTGGTCCTTCAGCTTTTGAGTGTTGAACTTGGCTTGTGGTCTATCTGCAGCTCCTGATTCCCTGAAAGCTTTTAATTTGATTTGGATTGTCCCTTGTACGAGATAGTGGTCTGAGCCAACGTCTGCTCCTCTTCTTGCTTTTGTGTCCAGTAGGCTGCGCCTCCACTTCCTTGAGATTGAGATGAAGTCGATTTGGTTTTTGGTTTGCCCGTCTGGTGACACCCATGTAGCCTTGTGGATATCTTTGTGCTTGTATACACTGCCACCAATCACCAGTTCGTTGAAGGCGCAGAAGTCGGCGAAGAGTTCTCCGTTTTCATTCATTTCTCCTAGAGCTTCTCTACCCATGATGAGTTCCCTTCCCGTATTGTCTGGTCCCAGTTTGGCGTTCATGTCTCCCATTAGTATTTTCATGTCGCCAGCTGGAGTATTGTCCATTGTTGCCTGTAGTTGCCTGTAGAATTCTTCTTTCTTCTCGAGGTCTGCGTTGTTTGTGGGTGCATAACATTGTATGATTGACACTTTCCTTCCTTTGGAGTTGAACCTGGCGGTCATTATCCTGGACGAAATCGCCTCCCATTGTATCAGGGCTTTCGTTGCCGTTGGTGACATCATGATAGCCACGCCCTCGGTGTGCGTGTGGTTATCTTCTGGGTGACCGGAGTAGATCACTGACTCACCTGTTGACAATTTGGTGAGTCCACTCCCATTCCATCTGCTCTCACATATTCCCAGCACTTGTATTCCGTATCTTTTCATCTCGTTGGCGATCTGGGCAGCTTTTCCAGTCTCGTACATAGTTCGGACGTTCCATGTTCCTACACAGACTTTTTCTTTTGGTGCAAGGAGGTTCAGCATACTGAAGATTCTGTAGCAATTTTTGTTTACAGGGTGGGGTTGCTAGCCTCACGCCTGAGAAAAGAATGATTACATTAAGTAAAAGTTTAGAGAGAAGCAACTTTTTGGGTTGCTCCCCTCAAAATCAGAAAATAACGGACAAACAATGAGAACAACATCAACAAAGGAAACAGTTCACAGAAAAAAGGGCAAAAAGCGACGACAACTATACAATAAGACAACATGCAATATAGTTCAGTATATGTAACTAAAATGATATCTTAACCATAAACTCACTGACTTGGAGCAACTTGAACATATAAATCCAACAATATATACAATTATAGATGTGTTTATGTTTAAAAATTCCACAAATCCAAACAGTGAGTTATGTGTATTATCTGTCAATAAGATTGTATTTTTTGGATTCAGTGTTCGAAAGGTTAATAATTGTGATAATTTCCGCAAACACTTTGCATAAAATTTTAGAGTAATAAGATATTTTATTTATGACCAAAATGTAGCGTAATAGTCGAAAAGCGCGCGCTGTATCTTCTGTAGGAACCTTTATAAAAGCTCATAAGAATGAATTACTAGAACTGAATACAATAATACTCTGTGTGGAATTAACCAGTAAGATAAGCTTAATTACAGTTCAAAGGGTGGCCAATACTATAAATAATAATGAAAATATCACTCAAAACTGAATACTGTCAAGGCGTTCCGTTCAAGTTCGAGACTCATGAGTCGTACACATCGCTGTCAGCTTCATGTGGCCCGAAAGCTGACAAGACTCGAATTAGGAGTCTCTGATTGTTATTGGCTCTCTAACGGATTTCAAAGCATTATCTGAGAGTTACATGATAGGTACTGTAGTTAGTTCTCACTGTTCATCTTCGATTCGCCTCACTATCGCCCATCAGTTTGTTGCCCACATTTATTTCCTAATCACGATAGGTTTTTATCATTTAATCTCATTTAAATCGTCTACTTTTATGTCGTTTCATCTCCGTAAAAGTTAATTCTGTCCGGACACATTTCATGTCGGTTGTGATGTTTTCGTCGATCAGGTAATTATCCAGAGTAAATATCACACCTTAGTCAAATAAGAAATGTTCACACAGAATCAATTCCATTTCTGGTTAAATACTGTCTTGCGTTCACAAACAAGTCACACTGTTTTCAGCTAGTGATATGCTTACAATGTTTCACTGCAGTCGAATTTTACCCAATTGCCAATAGTCTCCACACGTCTACTTCCTGGAAACTGTTGAAATGATTGATTAGTGAGTGTAATAAAATCAGCATTAATCAATTAGGAAACACCAGGCTAAATAGCAAACAATTTCAGGGAAGCTGAGCGTGCAGTTTGCTACATTTCACCTTGTTATCTAATGAGCAAATTAAAATATGTTTGACGATAGCACATTTTGACGTCATCGATAAACCGACGACTTCTATAAATTCAGTGATTCTAAGTAGGAGGAATATGCGTAAAAGTACGACACAGGGATTTGCAAACTTGAAAAGTTGAAGTGAACAGTTTCTTCCGCATTCACATCGGTTGACAGTTCATTCACTTATGCTAATCCGAATAACAATTGGATAAGACGATAAAATCAACACATAGTGAAATAAATATGTGGTGAAATGATTGATTGAAGTATTGTCAGTGAACACATATATCAAGTTGACTGATGCATTGAAAACCAGGAATCCAACAATTATTACAACACCACTTCGAGTGTTGACTGGAATTCGAATAAGTTTATATCATCAGTTCATACGCCTTTAAAGCATAAAAGACCGTCTCAATGAGATCCACCCAAATAATATATTCACCATGGAATATGAAA